TATTAGATATACTCGTAGCATAGCATGGTGGGTGATATCTTACGTGTTCATGTAGTGACGAGTGCGGAGGAACAGGAAGTTTCTTCATACTTTCCTTGGGAGTGTGATGGCATGGTGGAGATTCATGGACATTCGTTAGGTACTTTGAGCGTGATGAGCGTGACCCGTGACTCCATGCCGTGACCGATTGACGAGCTGAAGCACGCCCCCGATGAATTCACTTTCCGAGCACGACAGCGTCCTGGGTACGGGCGTTGTCTCACCGTCTGAGGTTAATACACTACACAAACAAATCCCGATAAGTACGCGAAGCACGACCGACAAACAAAGATCTTACCCGCCATACCTTGCTACGAGTACCCCCAATATATCTAATAGTACCGACACGATAGCGCTGATTGTGCCATCTGCAACTTACGGTTAAAAGGAAGGTAGAATTTGCTTTCGTGTCCATGGAAAGTCTCCGTTTCTTTCTCCGTTACACAACTGTGCGAAAACCACCGTCGTAGCGTTGGGAATCTTCCACCAGATATACTCAAACCTCGAACCATCACGTGCATAACGCGTTCCATCCCACAAGAACGACCTGTTTACGGACATCGAATTATCTAGGGGCAGGTCGCGAAAATCTTGTCCAAGAGCGGCGAGATTGATAGCCGACTGCCCCTTTCGTCACAAACACCGACCAGCGCACACTCAACGTAGCAAACTCATAGAGGGATCCGGACGATCATAGAGTCACCGTGTCATTTTTTATTTTTTTTTGCCTTCCGACAATTGCAGATGTACCTCAGAAAACTTTCACTTAATGTCTCAAACTCTACATGAATAACAATACTTTCTCGGCTTCGGGTCCGGGACACCTACCAGTGTGTGTGGCGGGGACGCGTGTGTAGAAGCACACGTGTCCCCGTCAGGTCAAGATCGATTCGGGGAAGATCCAAGCAAAGTTTGTGCATATCCTGCACTGGTCGGGCTACACGGGCTTTGCAGCAGCTGAAAACCGCAGGCAGTAGCTGAGGAAACGACAACAAGCACAGTGGGGGGGAAGCAGAGACAGAAACGACAGGATAGACAGCATCGACCGGAGTGCGGTGGTGGCACGTGTGCACAGACACACACAGGGTAGTGCCTGTCCCGTCGACGTGCTTGCTTTGCGGAAGATCCAAATAGAGTTGATCGGAGATTGTACGAAAAAGTCGGCCTGGAAGGTTTCCGAGGAAGAAGAGTTCAGGCACCGAGAGAGGAAAATCCGCGTGGAGAAGCGTGGAGAGATATCTTGGAGAAGAGAAACATAAGAGGTAGCAGTGAAAAGGCTGGTAGAGGTGAGAGCTTGTTGAAGTCGGTTCGGATCCATTGCGGCGACGATCCACTGATCGTGGATCGTACAAGCCGGATCTATTCGATATACTCGTAGCATAGCGTGGGGGGGG